AAAAAAAAGATGATGAAGAGAAGCTCTCCTTTTGCAGCCGTTTCTCTGACAACCGCAACCGTCGCTTGGTGCTCGCCACTAATGAATGAGAGCCTTTTTTTACGAAGAACTTCCCTTGTGGTCATGGAGACTCACAGCTTCTTTGCAATTACGCTTGCCTGTCACTACAATTGTTATGTTAAGGAGATCTTCACTTACGGGATTATCACATAAACTGTTCTAATAAGCGGATTGACATCAAGTTCATGATGAAGGAAAAAAGTATAGTAGACATTACGATTTCGACGTATCTTTATTGCATCTTGAGTTTGACAGCCAAAAATGAGGGTTTCGTGGTTTTAAGGAAAAAGATGGTCTGAAAATCAAATGATAGATAGAACGTTCCGCGTTGGCAATTAGGGCCACCTTTTCAGTAACTATTCAGTTGACAAGAAGAACAGGTGGCATGTGAATGTTCACTCTCATAGGAAACGAAGTCGTACATGAAGCATATGTTTGGTTAGAGGTGTTACGCTCCACTCCGAGTTGTCGCGTTTTTTTGTTTTTAACATGAGCGATTGGTACTGGATGACAGCCTGGCTGCCTTCATTACTAGCTGTTCTTGGAAATGGTCTCGTTATTTATTTGGTTCTCTCACGTCCAAGACTTCGCTCCATACAGAACAGGTTCACCTTGTCGCTTGCCATAGCTGACTTTTGTGTTGGAGTTTGTTATTATCCAGGGCACGCAGTATGCCAATTTTTACTCAACTCGTGTAATAAGGTTATCAGAGATGACATTGCAGTGTTCATGATCTATTCATCTGTATCGAACCTGTGCGCTATGGCTTTGGACCGGTACATCGCTATAGTCCGACCTTTGCACTACAGGTCCCTATTGACCACTAAACGCGCAAAACTATTGGCCGCAGTAGCGTGGATGATTCCGTTGATAGTCTACTTGATTCCTTCTGTTTGTGCCAGCTTTGGCTTATTTCACATCAACTTCAAAATAAGTGTAGTTATTTGGACCACGATCTTCGAATTTTTTCCTTGCACGGCACTTTTTTTGACTACATTGCAAGTAATCGTGATCTCGAGGAGACATTGTCGCAGAGATTCACAACGAAGTTTGAAATGGCGTCGAAATACATGTTCGGCTTCAGTGATAGGAACAGTTGTGACAGTTTTTCTTCTTTGCTATGCCGTGGAGGTTTACAGTTCGTTTTGTTATTTCACGTCGATATGCCAGCGAGATGAGCATATATATAACGTAGTGCGCTTTCTCGTGATAATTAACTCGGCAGCGAATCCTGTCGCTTATGCGTTTTTGAAGAGAGACATGAGAAGAGAACTCGATTTGATCATCAGCAAGAGATCTTTTATCAAAACAAGGTCAAGACGCAGTAATGAACGATCGTCTGGTATTTGACCTCTTGCAATGCATGTGAAAAGGCAAGATGAGTTGCCGCGATATAGGATTAAAGCATTGAATTTATATTCGGTTCGAAATCACTGATGGCCCTCTGATGACTTTCAGATAAGGAAATAAGCACTAAAAGTTATTGTTTAAGGTTTTTTTAAATTTATATAAGGTCCCTTAAGAATCTTAAAACAGAGTTACGATTATAAAAAAAAAATATTCGCTATGTAGAGGGAGCACTAGTTCTCTTGTTTAAACTGATTGTAAAAATGTATACATGTACGTGTAATGACAAGGTTTGGTTAGTGTGCAATTTTCTTTTGACCAGTTCTTGTCAGAATGAATAGAAAACAGTGCCTCATGATATGTTATCTGTAAATTTACAACAAGTAGAAATCTGGTCTTTTTTCATCAATTTTTAAAGCAATAAAAAACCTAATTTTTTTTGCGAGTCTAAAGATGAAAAATGGGAGCAAAAGTTGACAGATGTCTTGGCTTTTATATTATTTTGAGGCCTTTCTCGTAATACATTAATTAAAATGTTTTGTGGACATTTCGTAATTGACATCCCTTTCATTGGCCATCATTGAGTTGGAAAACATGACGTACAAAAGATGAATGATTCCCCAGTATTAACCCTTAATTAGGAAAAGTCATGGCGTGAATGAAGACAATCACCGTTCCTTAGAATATGCCGTTGATGTTGGCTTTCTTTTTATCATTTAGAGTCCATCACAGTGGGAGACTATTATTTTCTCGATCATTTCTTTGAATAAATCCTGTAAATCTGAAAATGTTATTCATGTTTTTAACAATGAGACTAATAATAAACATGCGGACGCGATTTTTGTAGGTGCTGAAAATAACTTGAAATTGCCAAGGTATTGATGAACTGTAAATCAATATGGAGAGATTGATTTTAGTCACAGACATCGAGGATATAGTTAACAAATTTAATTTATTTTCACTTTATTTTGCGAGCAATTTATGTTTTCGCTAACTCCTTGTCGTAATTTAATTACAGTTGGAATGTTAAAGTGGAATAAATGAACACTATAATTGGAGTGGCTAAACTAGGTGAGCCATGTTGATTTTGTTGTCAGAGGAGACTGTTTCAGTTGTAATTAAAGATCAACAATAAATCGCAATGTTAACAAAAAAGAAATGTTAACTTTACTAATGACATTTTGACCAAAGGGGGAATTTCGAACGAAACTGTATTGTCCGCGACTGTGTCTCTTGGCTACAGTCGTTGTCAATAATTTTGGGCTTTTTGCACACCATAAACACGTTTCTCACTGTTTTTGAAGTGATTTTAATTAATCCACGGCGAATGTATTTTTCTTTTCTGAAGTGAATCGTTTTCTCCTATGCAAGTCGCATAAGTTAACACGATGACCGATTGAAAATAGCTGTAATAAACTGCCTTTCAGGCATGTTAACTTATCCGTTTGTTTTCAATCGCTATGCAATCAGCTATTATTTACCACTGTGTTCTACATTACATAAGAGACAAATCTGAACAAAAATACGTAGAAATCGAAGAGTATGAAGTATCTGTGCAGTTGATTTGAGATAATAACATCGAACACGTACAAAAGCATGCAGCATGCATGTGAGCAGGAAGCCAGACGTCGACGACTGAAAGAAATCTAGACAGGTGATACTTCAGAACTCGAAGCAAAATAAAAATGCGTACATGCGTTTATTTCTGACCAAAGGTGAATCCTATGTTGAAAATGACTCCTTAATCTTCTTAAAACCTTTTGATGAAGTTAACGAAGAATTATCGTATAATCTTTAAAGGGAAAGCCTAGCCTAAATATGATTTTTATTAAATTATGGTACTTCCTTTGTTAAACAATCTGACAATTGACAACACCATAGGACAACTTTTTCCTAGTTAGTCATTTTAACTTGTCAACCTCATGGATGGAAATTTTATTTCGTCACTTGAGCATGCACCTTTCCTTTTTTTTTTCCATACTGTAACATGAAGGTCACGCTTCTAAACTAAAGCCGTGTGATTTGTAGCATTTTAAGTTCCAGTTTTGATCGGATAACCGCAAAAAATGTGGCTTAAACCCAAAATTTTGAATTGCATAATCTAACACTGCAGGTGCCCTTTACAAATGGAAGATAACATCTCAGTAGTTGGCTGGCTCCCGAATCCTCCTTGAATCACTGACGTGATGAAGGTTTGGTAGAGAAAATGTAATCTTAAAATGCACTCGGGGAATACATTAGATTTGCGCGGACCTAACCAGTGTATAACGATAAAAAGCATTACGATAACAAACTGCGGCCCTAACATGATAATTATAGAAGCCTGTAAATCCTTTGAAAAGATTCGAAAGGACAGGATCTTGTTCTGGAATACCATTATTACATAACAGATATGATGCACCAACTCGTCAATCATTCAAATTCTTAACCTGAAGGGGGCTTTTACCAACTATCAATTGCAAATTGTCAAAGAATACTGTTAACATTTAGTTCTAATAGGGGGGAAGGGTGTCAAGAAAACCCCGATAAGTACTTCATATTTTTTTACAATTACATGTTGGTCATAAAGACATCTTATTTTCACTTTATAGTAGTGGGAAAAAGGATGCTGAAATTAGTTTCATCTCGGGTGTTAATACTCTTATTTCTTGAAGTGACTGATTGAGGTCCTCTGAACTGTTTCTAATAATAAGAATAATAAAGCATTTCTCGCTCACTATAAAGAGAATATATATGCAATCTGGTTGCAATAAGTTAGGTTCAAAATTTACAAGTTGGATGTCCGCGGCTGAAAAGAATTAGAGTTTCATTAGGGTTTAAGTCTGTAGATTGAGCAAGTTCATGAAGCGAAATTGAGGCTGTCACTGCTGCATTTTGACATTTTTTATTTTCATGTCAAAGCACATTTGAAATTTGAAGCTTTGTTAAATTGATATGACATAATATACATAGTAAAAGTCAATATTACACGCTTAAACAAGAACAAGGAAAGATGCATGCGAAAGCGATAAAGTCAAGACAGTCAAATCTACATTTTTCAAAGTACTCATGAAAATAGCATAGGATATGCTTTAATTTATACAGAGGGCTCATTTCATCAAGGGTTAAGTTATTTCAGATTTTTATGAGATAGCTAGGGCATCAGAATTAATTTGTATTTTGGCCCAGAGGTGTTATAATATATAACGACTTGAGTTTTCCAGGCTTTAAGTCTTCAATCTCATTAGTATCTAAAGATGAAATTCTTTTGGCAACGCTTAAACTAAAATGGATCTTAAATACATGCATTAAACTCCCACAGTGTGCCTTTATCTTCCACCTGCTTTGTGTATGGGTCTCCTATTGTTCTTTCCGATTCAGTAACAGCAGAATACAGCAATTTTTCTTCATTGAAGCGGTATCCAGCAATGAAGCCCGCTAAACAATCACTCATCTTTAGAATAATGAATGAGAATTATGCAACATATTTATTTATACTGATTGATTCTTATTTGGCCTTCTCCTTTTCAGTTTGTTTTTTAAACAACGTCGTTTCAATTAGGCGTAAATTATTGTAAATAGAATGCTATAATATTGTCGTAGAATCCAAATAATAAATGTGCTCTTTTTATATCAACAGTCATTGTCGGCATACACGTTGGTCTCTCATGATCGAATCCCTAAGGAGTCATGACAAGACTTGTGACAACTGTAACCAAAAGAGGCCCTTCTCTTGCTGTTATGAATAACATCACTCCTTCGCATGTCACTTAAGAAAATAAATTTCATCTTGAAATTATAATATTTAATGCTGAATATTTAACGACAGAAAATGGTTACTCGATCGCACGCGCTTTGACCCTAATTATCCATAACTGGAGGAAATTTTTTTATTATTTTATAGCGTCAGTCAAAGTTCTTCAACGTTATGGAAGAGAGAGAACAGTAATACTTCATAGTAAATTCTAATGTAGTTTTGTCTTCATTTTGTCTTGTTTTCATCCGAAGTAGTCATTCTAGTTATTTCACAACAGGTCCGGATATAGGAAACGAGACAACAGGGTAAAATAAGCTTTTACGAGTAGGTATCCTTAACGCCTAATTTTATCACATATTTTTTGTTCAGTCGCACCTTAGAACTCTGAAAGCGCAGCCGTATCTGTTTTCTTCCTAAGATATGCAGTTGTGATAACTCAAAGACTGGTCGATCTTTCATTACTACGTCTCGACAAAAGGCTTGGTTTCGTGAAAGAGTTTTTGCAGATAAATTTATCAAGTTCTCTCTTCATGTCTCTCTTGAACAACGCATAAGCGATAGGATTTGCAGCCGAATTAACAATAATGAGAAAACGCACTGCGTTGTATATGTTATCATGTGGAGTACACAATGATGTAAAATGACAAAACGAGCTGTAAACCTCTACAGCATAGCAAAGAAGAAAAATAGCCACAACTGATCCAATCACTGATGTCGAAGCTTTTTGTCGAAGCGTTAACTGAGAGAAGTTTGCGTCTCTTCGGCGATGCCTCTTCGAGATAATGATAACCTGCATGGTAGCGAACAACAACAACGTGCACGGAATAAATTCGAAAATCGTGGTCCAGATTACCACACTTATCTTAAAGTTTATGCTAAACAATTTCAAGCTGACACAAATGGCGGGAATAAAGTAGACTACCATCGGAATCATCCATGCTATTGTCGTCAGTATTTTTGCGCGTGTAGTCGTCATGAGTGTTAAGTAGCGTAAAGGTCTGACAATGGCGATGTACCTGTCGATAGCCATGGCGCACAGATTGGACACAGAAGAGTAGATCATGTACACAGCAATGTCATCTCTAATCATCACATTGCACTTTGAGTCGAGCAAAAAGTTGCATATTACATGCCCTGGGTAATAACATGTCCCAACACAGAAGTCAGCTATTGCAAGCGACAGAACAAATCTGTTTTGTAAGGTGCGCAGTCTAGGACGTGAACGAATCAAATAAATCACGAGGCCATTTCCAATAATAGCTAATAATGAAGGCAACCATGCCGTCAACCAGTACCAATTACTCATGTTGCAACAGCTATCCCTTAAAGAAAAAAACGAAAGTAAAAATTTAGTTATTTTGATTGACTTATTTTACTGTTAGAATACCTTCGATAAGCTCTCAATTGCGTCGAGCCGTAATTATACAAAAGCATCTTAAATACAGAGAAAAATTAGCATAAGGTTGTTGAGGTTTTGTCATTTGAAATCCGAGTCGATTTTTCCATCCTCATCTGTTACTTTTCCTATTCATCATCTTTTTCGAAATTGGTTTTACTATCTTTCCCATCATGTCTATGTTCTATAGTTTTCGCTTACTGTTTGCCACTTTAAGGGTGCATCAAATGAGGCGAAAAAGAGTCTATAGAAAAAGAGGATACATCCCAGAGATCAAGATTACCCACCTGTTTGGCAGAAAAGAAGAATAACTTTAGGTTTTTAAGCTTTTTCGCCCAATTCGTACTTCACTGGAGTTAAATTTGCGGATTAGCGTGACTTATTAGTCTCTAATTCGACCTACAAAAAAAGAAAGTATATCGTGGTAAACAGTATATCATCGTTCTTGAATGCACGACAAGATACCGGAGTTTAGCTCTTTACTATTTCCGCTGCTTCCGACAGACAAGAAACATATTTCATTCCTTTCAGACAATTAAGTATTTTCCTCTGATTTATATTGGACCTGAATGGAGAGAAGACAATGATGTTTTAAATCGCTATTGTAAACATTGCCAATTTTAATCAATTTTGCCTTTTATATTTCACAGTTCTTTCAAAAGGTGAATATTGCATGCAGATTTCCTATACTACTTTTCATTGAAAAAAGTTCTGGTAGCTGTGTCATTTTTTTACAATTTTCTGACGTTTTTCTAAGGGCTATGGGTAATTAAAGGTTCTTATTATGGCAGCAAGAAATCTTGAAATCGTAGATTTGGTGATAACTACCACATTTTACTGAAGACGGGAAGATAATTTCTAGCGAGCGTTTTTTTTTTCTGCCATACAAAATCATTTCCCTTTTCTCTGTATGTTACGTACAGGGTCATTCTATCGAAATTAAACCTGCTATGAAGTCAAATCCTACGCAGTGCTTGTTATCTTGAAGGAAATTAACTTTTGATTTGAATTAATGGAGCGCAATTGTAGCCAAGGAACTGTAGCACCTTGTGGTACGTAGTAACTGCTCAAAAGATCATCCAAATTAGTAAATGTAGATGTAATAAATTCACTATGGTTGCATGTATTTCTGAACTGAAAATCAGTCTGCAATCATTTGCATAATGCAAACCGGATAGTGGTTGTCTTATGAAAGTGTTAATGATACTCAAGGTCATCGCGTTCATCTGTTTCTCAAGCGAACTCTGGGTAACCTTTCTGTCACTACCTAAGATTTATTTATTTTTTTCTTGTTTAAAACTTCAGGAAAAATTGTTGCAGGAGACTAACGTAATCATAGAACTCTTTTGACACGCTTTTCCAAACGATCGTTTTCCTCTTGTTTCACAATTTAATGAAATGGAACTCGAAAAAATGAATGTTTTGAATTTTCGGCTCTGCTGAAAAGAACGTCTACGTACTTCACCATGTCAAGAAACGACTGAGCCACGCCATCGATTAGCCAAACTGCCATTGGGATTGAAAGCTTTGTTGTGTCGCCCTCAAAACGCATGAGATGAAAACTTGTCTGAAATTAATCTTTATAAAATAGCCAAAATACTGTTATAAGTAGGCATATTTTAAATTATTTGTTCCTGTGTTTAAAGCGAACAGAACATGGAAAACCACAATTAAGTTCATCATTTGAAGATTCCTTCGCTTATTCGTAAAATTTTTTTCTAATTTATGTCTTTAAACACACTTTTGCGAAAAGCAATCGTGGGCAAGCCACGGAGACACCTTTTGGTCACCATACTTAAAGCTTTTCCCATTGTTATTATAAATGCTTACCAACACTTTAACCGATCGTTTAACTCATGTTCTGGTGCCGAGAAAGCATTAACACCTTCTGCCGTCCTTTGGAGAACTGAACTAAATTGACTTAACATCTATTAAATTGTAATGGCTAAGTAAATTGTATTGAGTTTTGTCCGTAATTTGATTATTGTCAATTTGATTATTGTACTACAAACATGGATTCTTTATGCATATTGTTACTCGAATTTTTCATTGACATTTACTCCGTCTCAATGTTGGGAGATCCTAAGAAATAAACAAACAAGACAAATTTCTTTAGTCGTTAAAAATGAGAACTGTTTTCCTTTTGTTGTTCTTTTACAGGGCATTTAATCTGACAGAATTTTGAATCAAATGATAGATAGCTGTCAATCGAATGATGCCAGTAATCCCATAAAGAAAAAAAATTAGGCAAGTCTTAATTGTGAGCATTAATCACTGAGGTTGTCATCATTTAAAAGAAATTAAAAAACATGATTTTCGTTTTAATATTCATCATTGAGAAGCCGTCGCTACCTAGTCAGCCATAAAAACCCCGCTTCTTCGAGAGAAGTCGAGGTCTGTCTTATTATAGAACGTATAAGAAGGGAAGAACAACTCACCATTTACATCTATTGATATCAAAGACAAGGATGTTTCCAAATCGGACAACAGTCAGATCGCTTGCCCGATCGTGGTTCTGCGTTACTGATTACCCGGTAAGCAAGTACTCGCAATCGAAAGTGGTTGTGGTTTTCGCTGCATTTCAATGCTTAGGATGATTACCGTGGCCTTGGTGGTTAGCAGATGTTATTACATCAACCAAATGATGGAAGCTAATTGTTGATATTTTCCAGTTTTTGTTTTGTGCCTCCATAAGTTTGTTCAGCACACAATAAAAGCACTTCTCTGGGAGAATGATTTGATACTAATTGTAGCTAAACTGTTCAAAGCTCAAAAAGCAAATTGCCTCAGGCAGTACTGCATTGAAAGAGTTTAATTAGTGAACAAAACAATAAAACACGAGCAAACAACATTTTACGGAGCCTGTCGAATGTGTTTAAGAGTAATTATCATATTTCACTCTCTAGATTTTTCTTTCAGAATGTCTCGTAATCGGTCCGTCATGTACGTTTATCGTGCATCCAAAAAAAACGAAAAAAAGATATATCCAGAGTCTTTCTCCGTAGTTAAACTACTGATCGGTCTTCTACCACGATGTTCAAAATAATTTACAAACATGCTAGAATTTTCGAATGACAATCGTGAGGACGAAACGTCCATTGTGACGTCAATCAAACCTAGTGGGGTGCAAAATTTCAGTGAACAGTATTGAAATTCAATGCCGACAGTTGTGTATAAATAAAAAGGTATTGACTGGATACCCTCAAACGGCAACAAAACAAAGGTTTCAAGATGACAAAAACATGTTGACATGATATTATTTATATATTATCCCCACACCCTCCCCCGCCGAAAAAAAAAATTGAAAGGGAAACAGAGAAGTGATAAAAACAACTGAGATCTAGATCTGAGAGATAAAAATTTGTGGCCAATTCATATACATACAAACTCTCGCCCGCTGATCAAGATGGTACAATTTTATGCTAAGTGCACATTGCTTCATATGTGGTTGATAACTAAATGACAAAATTATCCATCTGCAGGTGAACTGCAACGGGACCTGAGAAATTCAAGGGAAAAAAAGCTTGGCGCTGCCTCCTATAGGATACGAAACCATATGTTGGAGATCACCAACGAGAGACCGTCAAACAGCAACAAAAAGCGTTAGAGTGCAAGAAAACTTACGACTTTCATTTAATAAATTTACAACAAAGAACTCTGATTCCCGTAGAAATTCACAGTTACAATCCCAAATGCATTCAAGCTTTGTTACCTTTTTTGTTTGATTCAGCGAATTCATGGAAGAATGAATAATAAGATATGACCTCAATCTTCTCCACGCATAAATTGGGCAACAAAGATTTCACGCCAGTAGAGAAGACGTAGTTCGATGGTGAGGATGTTTTTGCGATTATTTATGGAGCACCTAGTTGCAGTCCTCTTTAGCATAAGTTTTTTTAGCGAGGGAATCGTATTTTAGATCCTTTCATGGAAAATCCTCCAAAAAAAAATTATAATGATGACAACAATAATTAAAATCTTAACGCCACCGTCGTAATGATTTGTGCTTGTGTTAATTTTGAACTTTATTTTACACACCTATAAATATTTCTGCTTGCTGATTGGCAGAGAACTGGTCAATTGATCCTAAATACTGAGTAGACATTTAAAATTTACTGCGAAGGGTTGAAATTCAGTGGAGAAACTCAGTTGATCAAAGATGATTGGCAGGAAGCTGTGAAACCGCACCAAAGCCAAGATACGACATGAGCTAAAGCATTTTGAATTACATTCGAAGGAGACCACGTAAATAAAATGTAAGGAAAAGAAAAATGACGAGAGAGGCAGTATTCAAGAATGTTTAAAACAATATTATATATGCATAAAGAAGATAAAAATGGTACGGTTCTTCCGCGCGATTATACCGACGACATCTACTATTTGATTTCATCTCTAAATTTTGAAGAAAAAGGTAAATCCTAAAGTTTTCGTCCTTCTTCTACATACGTGAAGTGAAAAAAGGTAAACTGGGAGATAAACATTTTCCACCAAGCGTCATGCATACAATTGTCATTGTTCATACTCTTTTTGCATGCATCCTTTCGTAACTATTTTGCATATTATGACAGTGCATTGTAGGAAATATAATTTACCTGTTAGGAGCACAGCTGGTGAGTTAGTCTTCCCTGTTCATATTTCTTTCCTTGACGAAAATAACCTTTCAATGTCCTGTACTTGTCTTGTACGTCCTTGTGAAGAACGTTTCGTTTGAGAAATATAGCATACTTTTAATTATGAGTGCAGTCTAATATAATGTTCATTTCAGTTAGTACAAAATCATATCAGTTAATGGATAATAATGTTATGACTAGCTTTTGAAAAATATCGGAAATATACAGATAGCTATCAGTAACCACAACTGCTCGAGTCAGTTTATAAAAGAAGTCCAACTGAGGCCGTTGTTTCAGACAATCACTGAACCTTGAGATTTTCTTAAAGTGGATTATCTAAAATGAATGATTTTACTGCGGTGTTTGTTCAGATGAAACGTGTGGCTGAATTCAGGGTGATTTCGGATTCGAGCCTGATTTTTCTGCACAACAGTTGAACGTAGGTTTAATAACCAGCCTCTAATGGATAAAAATTCAAAGTGATATTTTTGCCGTATTCCTTTTAAACTCGCTTCTCTAAGGTAACAGCTTGCTTGTGGTGAATTCACCGGCGGACCCTAACCTGAAACGATGTCGAGTACCTCTCGATGAACAGCAGAGGAAAAACCGGAATCGCTGGCCGAACGCAATAAGATCTCTTCAAAGCGAGTCCATTTCGTTAAAAAAAAAAATTAAAAATCAACAATGGTTATTATAACAGTTGGGGTTGCTTGTTCAAGGTTGATGAACTGCCAAACACATGTGACATTATGCAAACGTATTAAATGACATCAACTAAAGGAAAGTGAATTGAGCGTTGTAAGCTGGTTAATAACGCTTTAGCAAGCAGCAAGTTGCAGACAGCTGATTTAGGGAGAAAAGGTAGTCAAACTTTCTACGCACGGGAAGGAAATAGAATCCTAAGATTTTTATCTACTTTTTCGTAAAAAGATTTGCATAAAATAAACAATGTAATAGAAAGTTTACGGGCACGAAGTACAACAAGAATTAACTTTCGTCTCGGTCCTAATTAGTAGAATTCATTTTTCCATAAAATTTTCAGGTCATGTCTGTCGAATAGCGACAAGAAGGACCTCTACCCCAGCAGTATTCATATACTATGCAATGGTTGTGAGGCGTGGTCCAATTTGATTCTCTACCCCAGCTAATAAAAATTTTGAGAAAAATTAATTTTAAGAATGCCAAATACCTCCAAATGTAGTGGTAACAGTTTACAACGCTTATTCGGAAGAACTGTACCGAAAGACGCTCTTCAAGTGAAAATTTCTGCGCTATGTTTTGTCTTCATTGTCATATAATTTTATCGAATCTCATTCAAAGTTCTTTTAATCATTTTACTTCAGCCGTACGTATTCCAATGAGATGGCGCTGTGGACGTCATTTACGAACTACGAGATCTACAGCAGATTGAAAAGATAAAACATTTCGTCGTCCATTAATCTGATTGGCACATTTTTAACGCTAATTTTACTTGACAATTTAAAATTTGAAATTCACCGATTTATACGTTAATATTTATTGAGTAGTTTTCCAAAGGGCTGTAAGCCTAGCTGTCGATAGTGATCGCTGGACGTCAGCGACGCCATGAAAAAATTACTCAACGTCAAAATGGAGAAATCTGCATGTACGTCATTTCGGTCGCGGAAAATCTTTTCGTTAACCTCAACTTGAAGCTTAGATGTGGTCAAAGGGCAGAAAGGGAAGAAAGGTTTCCAGACCTCATCGAAGAACTCTCGTGAAACCAAGCTCTGGTTGTATGGAGGCGAAGGTAGCTGAAAGTTCGAGAGAGCTTTTAAAGTTACAAAGATACACAAGTCAGGAACGATATTATCTATCGTTTACCAAGACTATTTGGTTTTTATCACCTATGTGCTGAGTGGTATCGACCGAATGAGAACTTGAATTCGTAATGGGTCCTGAAGTTCAACTCGCTTCATCTGAATAATCTGAGAAAGGCTTTCAGTAAATGCGACTCACGTTCTGCAAAATTTCTAAAGTGCGAAGGCTTATGAAGATCAAAGATAGGCCAATTTCCATTTTTAAACTCATTTTTGTTTCAAGATATCTTGATTATGATTCCGATTAAATTTGCAAAAATTTCTCTTTAGATAAATTAGAGGTTAGACCTTATTTTGATATAAAATTTTGATAAAATATCCAAATTTTTTCAGCACCAATGTATTTTTTCTTTGCGGTGAAAGGAAAAGTGCAGGAAATTATGATTTTATCAATATTATGCCAGTGACGTAGTCGTCATAGCTGTTTTGGGGGTCTAATTTTCTTTTCAACGGGAAATCTTCCAAACAATCTTAAATTTGGTTTTTCTGTTTTTGTGTGCATTATTATTATCGGAAGAGAAGGAAAATCAAAATGATTACGGGTGGGAAAAATCTCTGAAAAAAGGAAAATTTGAACACCAAAAATTATTTTACATCGGTATAAAAGCATTACTTGCTGGTATCGTGAACGTTCCCAATTTCGGAAAGTTTAATTTATTCTTCTTCTTATTGAGGGAACCATTGCTTATTTTTCTTTTAATGTATTTGCGCTTTCTCGACTACCGACCGTCAGGTAATGTACTTGTATATCATTTACCTCTTGGTCCTGGCATAGGAGCCTGAAACGAGAACATCGATATTGTGGTACACCTTCACTTGAGCACTGCGTTGATATCTATCCAGAAACAATTGTCTGGGCTTTTGGATAGGAAAAAAACTATGCAGTGATCGTCTCGTATTCCATTTTTTTAAAGATAGAGCGCTTTTTTCTTCTTTTATCGCAAGAATAGAAACATCGAGGAAATGGAAGGGAGGAAATAAAAATATGGTAAGCTTTATTACCACAGAGTTGGTAAATAATTTAAACTAACATTTTTACCTGTTCATATCAGGAATAGTGTTTTGATATCATAATTTCTGTCCGGATGAAAAGGCCTATATTTAAGAATATAGATTCCCAGATTGAAAAATTATTTACTAAAGAAAAAGAAGAGCAATCATACTTTCCTGCAAGGAGCGTTTATGTAATACAATGCTCTGAGGATAGGGGAAAGTATTTGATCCTACGCAAAATGCGAGAACGTCCAGAATCGTTCGGTGATGAACAATACAATCGCGAATTCAATTAGTGAAAAAAACTGATGTCAACAAATACTTTGTCAGTTGATCCAAGTTGGTACATTGTCAACGAATTGTCACAAAGGGCAAACACGAATCAAATGCATTAAGTGCTAGGTTATCTGGTGCTGTAAAGGTTAAGCGTAAGGAGACAACATAAAAGGTTAAGCGTAAGGACTCACAAAAAATGAAAAAAAAAAAAAAAAAAACGCACCGAAGGATAAAGGGCGACATACATGCAGAACAGACGTAAGTCAGAATCAATTCAGCGTGTTCCAGGTTCTCGATCAGTGCGTGAGCCACGCTTGGTGATTGTTGGTGGCAACTCCGATGGCAAAGAACTTATAACTATGAACTGGGATTTTTATCTCTGCCTTTGAAGAGTATTTGTATACTTATCCTACTGACCGCTGTTTGAGATTATTAATAATAACTTGGGCTTTCAAAAATTGTGTTAAAAAGTGCCCATCTCTCGACGATCTGTTTGACAAATTAGGAGCTAGACAAATGACACAGATAACTCAAGTGATTACTTTTTTTTGATAACGATAGCAGCGGATATTTGTGGGCTGGGTTACTAATATGTTTCAATATAGTTGTGTCTCGAGTCGTCCAAACATCCAAATGGTGTATTTCATTCATTTGGGCAATCAAGTTTTGAGAACATTTGAAAGAAAATTTACTTCCAAAATCTACAGAAAATGAAGTAAATTTGTATACAGTATTAGCGATTTTTTTAACTGAGAAGAGTTAAAATGAAAATGTTATGGTTTCAAGAACATACTCTTGAAAACATAGTGCGCAAGATTTTGGTTGCATGTTATCATAAGAACCAGGCGAGAGATTTTGCAAAATTGCAGCATAGCGGTTTATTATTTCTCTACTTTAACGATTTTAACAAAACAATGTTAGACAAAAAAAAGACTTTGAAAAAGTTATATGGGTTCTATTATTAATAGCTGATTATACATGATCTCGGTATATGCTCAAAATTAAAGGGTTTGACCAATACACACTGCTGTACTGCTAAGTGTCTGTAGGACAACTTCTTCAAAATAACATTGAGCCCTTGGTGAAACCAGTGTTAGTTTTCACGTGCTCTGCAATATGGAAATACGCAAACAAATATGTTCCCCCTGAAAAGTGACGAACAGGCTATAAATTCAGGCAATGTAGCGAACCATTGAAGCTACCACTAGTCTTTTAACACTGTAATCGTTTTAAGCACTGCTTTGTTTTCCTATCACGTCATTTTCCAGCTTGAAAGCAAG